GTGACCATATTTTGCGTTTAGAGTCGGTATTGTGAGTATATTCATGGAGAGGCCGAATGTGTCTCACTTGGAAGCAGTTATGAGAATCCTAAGATAAGTCAAAGGGTCTATTGGCCGCGAAATCCTCTTTCCTGCAGCGGATACGGACATAAAATGTAATCTGCTAGATTTTACCAATTCAAATTGGTGCGGAGATAAAGATGATCAAAAGTCTACAACTGAATATATTTTTATGTTTGAAAGAGCACCAATTTCATAGTGTTCGAAGAAGGACTTGATAGTTCCTCTCTTGTCTTGTGAGGCCGAGTATATTTCCACTTCTTCATGTGCATGCCAAGCCGTGTGGCTAATGAATCTATGCTCTTGAGTAACAATGTTTCCGCTATTAATCTTCATAAGAACCCAATTGCACATGGGAGGAGCAAACACATTGAGATGAGGTTTCACTACTTGATGGAGCTTGTTAGTGAAGGAAAGTTAAGATTGAGATATTGTAAAAGTGAAGACCAAATTGCTGATTTGTTGACTAAGAGAGTCACAAATAATGTGTTCAAAAGGTTGAAGATGAGCATGGGCATGGAAGACTTGGAGCACTTGAAATAAGATGGTGTGTTAAGAGATTTTTAAGTATTTTAAGTGTTGTAACCAGTTAACACGAATGTGTAACCGATTATAGGCATCAAACAAGTCAAATAAGTTACAGAATAAGTGCTTTTAGAGCTACTGTAACCGGTTACGCATTCGCATTAACCGGTCACACCTAATAGTATTTTTCAGTTTTGTGTCAGCTATAATCGGTTACAACCCTGGGTTTTTTACTTTTATGATTTTTGACTTGATACTTTTGTATTCCAATTGTTGTATAAATACCATGATGGTATTATTTGTAATATAGAATGAATATAGTCATAATTCTCACCCTCAATTATCTGGCTATAACTCTCTTTTTCTCACTATCTCTTTCTCCACATACTTAAACTCCAATTATTCACCAGTTATGTGATTGTTTGTTCCAACAATATTGATATATCTAAAAGGGAATTAGCAATGGATGATGTAGAGATAAAGGATATGAGTTTAGTCTGTAGCGCCTCTTTTGTCACCCGTTTTCTAGTTTTGGCATCCATTTACTAAATGTGTCGCCTTTTACATTGGTCATGTCGTATCCCTTTAGGAATGATCGCCTGATATGAGTGAATAGAGAAATGACGTGTTTTGATTCCTCAATACTCCCTCTGATCCTATTTATAAAAAACAACTTATTTTTTAGATACATCGAATAATCAAAGTATTCGAACAATATATAGATCAAATACATTAATTATTCGATGTATCTAAAAAATAAATTGTATCTTATAAATAAAAACAAAAGAAGTAATAAAATATGAATCATTTAACCACATACTCAAAAATAGTGGTGGATTAAACCGTCAATTTTTCTGCAACTTCTCAATAGTAATTGATATTCACCAAAGGCTTATGATCTAAACTTTAAACTGCTATAAATATCTTAACAATAGAGTTAAAAAGGATAATCTCATTCACACACAAAAAAACAAATACGTAGAGCTTTTCATCCCTTTATGAACTAATACTTATCCCCTCAAATACCTTAAAACTTGTGACAACTCTTAACCAATAAAAATTATCACACATTATACTTTTTTTTTTATACTTTTTAACAATCACTATTCTCGAAAACAAAATTTATAAAAGTAATATAAATTATCAATAAATTTAATACCACAATCTACGTTTTTTATTATTTAAATTTCATAATTTAGTTAAAAGAGTTTGATCAATAAAAGCTTAGGTAGTATGTTTTCTCATATGGTATCTTTAAAAAGATATGTATTTAATTATGAGATTATATGTAGTGTCCGTATAAATTAATTATAATTATAATATTTAATTATATTATATTAATATTTTAAAATTAATAATATAATTTAATAAAATATATATATATAATTGATTGTCAGTATATAAATATTTTATATTATCTATACATATTTTTTTCTTCTTTTAAGTACATATCAGATAAATAATATATAATGGATATAATTAAATACATATGGAAAAAATTACAAACAACAACCGTATATACAAATAAAATTGTCAAAACTTGGTGAATTTCATTGTCTATAAAACTGTTTGGAAAATATAATAAGCGGCGTCGTTTGGTGTTTGGTTTGGGTTATTAACTTAAATTTATACCAAACAAAATCTTTCATCTTCAATTTAAAGATTTATAAGATAAGATTTAGAAAAATGTTTGTGAATTTCAAAAGATATGTAGCAACAATTACTTCAATAAAACGTAAAGGTAAACAGTAAACACTTTTCATTTGAAATTTAATTAATTATTTATTTAATAATAAACACTTCAAATATGTAGCTTTATATAAAATAATTATTTAAATAATAAATTACTTTTGTTTAAAAGTATCTGTACTCCCACTAAACATTAAAATGTAAAATTTTATCTAAAATAAAAAATGAAAAAAAACTTGCACCGTTGTTGAAGATATAGATTTGTTGAGAATTTTTATATATTGATATAAGAAAAAAATGTATTTAATGAGAGACATACATTTAATTAAAATATAATTTTATTTTAAAAATATTAATATAATATAATAAATATAATAATTTTAATTGATTGTATGTGTAATATTAATTTATATTGTTAATATACTATCTTTAAATTCTATTAATATTATTAAATTTTTATAACCCAACAAAGTAAATCAAGTTATATACTAATATTTAAAAAAAAATTAAAAGAGTTAAATATATTTTTGCTTTCTATATTAATTTTTTTTTTATCTTTATAAAAAAATTAGCATGTTTTAGTCCATATAAAATTATTATGCATGTAGATTTAATTTCAATTATTAAATTGATGTGTATTTTTAAAATGATTATTTTGCAAATATATTTAGAATGTTATAAAATGTTTTAAAAAAAAAAGGAAAATCAAAATTTAATTTCTAAATCGAAATTTTCATTTATCAATATTTTTTAAAATTTAAAAATATTTATATTTAATTCTTATCATTTTAAAAATTCTAAAATTTAATAAATAAATATTTTATAATTTATTATATTTTAAAAACTTGTGAAAAAAAATTCAAAATTTTAAAATTTAAGATATTTATAAAGACAAAAAAATATTTAATCTAAATTAAAATGTTAAATATATAAATTATCCGATTAAACTAATTTAATTAGTAGTTAGACTGAAATTTTGAATATGTGAGGTTGAGTTGTATCATCCCTCTTATTTATTTTTAAAAGATAAAATTTTAACTATTAAACAATTTGACCAAAAATAAATTATATAAAATTCAAATTTAGTTTATATTAGTATGTAAATTGAGAATTCTTGTAGAGAGATTACAAAAATAATTTATAAAGTAAGATTCAAATAAAAGAAAGGCTCTTTTAATATGGACATTTATGTGTTTTAAAATTGTTTGTTTGATATGAATGATACTCAACCTCTAATTAATTGAACTTTTATGAGTTTTTTATATTAAATAATAAAATTAATTTAAAATTTAAATTGATTTTAATATTTATCTTAAAATTTGTTAGTTATACTTAAAGTGAACACTATATAGTTTAAAATTTGTTAAAGTCCACATCAAGTTATTTAATGTCACATAACCTATTTATATTTAATTATCTTAAAAACAAATTTTAATTAAAAAAATAAAATATGCACCATCAGTAAAATAATTTCACAATAAATCAAATATTCCATTAAATAATATTGATATTTTTAAATTAATAGTATGATATAGTTGAACTTTTATTAAATATTTTCACACCGTTAATTAATTAATCGTGAAATTTTTAGATATTTGATTTATTCACGGTGTATATCGATTAACTTTTTGATTTATTAATTTTTTAGATGTTAAAAGCATTACAAAACAAAGACTAAATTCGTACATAAATAACAATAATTTATTTGACGAATATTAATTTCGACATTTATTATTTATTTATACGTTACAGACGTTTCCATGCAGACGTGTCAACATTCATTTATTTCTAAACGCCGCTCTTCCCTCTCTCTCTCTCTCTCTCTCTCTCTCTCTCTCTCATACTATTTCTCTTCTTCCAATCTTATTCTTCTCATTCTCGTTTTCAATATTCTTTCTTCCTTCACTGCTAGGGTTACGTTTTCTTCACTCCACTGGTACGTTCCTTTTCATGCTTCAATTCACATTCTCCTCAACCTTTCACGTTACGATTCCTTCTCACACGCGCTTAAATATGCATTCAAGTGTTCATCGTTCTTTTGCTCAATTCTGATTTCTCTGTGTTGTTCTTCAATGGAGATTTGATTCCTTTTTAGATTTTGTTTTTTTATTTTATTCATTCAATTTCACGAGCCTGTTTATTTTTTTTTTTTTGCTGTTTCTGATTGAAATGGTGAGAAATGAATATTCGAATTCAGTTTCATGGAGTCGAACTGAAGAACTCCAGTTTCGTAGTAAGCCGAATGGCTTTGTTTTGCTAAGCCTTGCTGTGGTTGTTGAATCTGAGGTTGAAATTGAATTTTTCAGTTCTGGAAAATTCTCATTCATAATTCATAGTTTTGTTTTGAATTAAGAATTAAATAAAAAATAATAGTTGATTAATGTAGGTTAATTTTCGTTTTTGTTATTTTTTTTTTGATGCAGGGTGAAGTATAGCGAACTGTAGTGTTGAATCTTCAATAGGAAACTCTATAGTTCATGATTATTTTACTTCATTGGTACTTATACGGAAGATTCGCGGCGGCGAGGAGAATAATGTAATTGACTAATGTGATTGAGGTTGAATTGAATCTGTTTGTAAGATCTATTTCTGATAGAGTCAAAAAAGTGAAAGATTTGTTTCTGATTTTTTTTTTGTTGCTTTCCTTTTTATGAAATGCAGATTTCGATTCATTAAATCAGATGAGTTGAAGAGATCTATATATTTTTTGCTTGTAAAAAGTTGAAATGGCTATTGCTGGTTTGCACAGTGTGTCTATGCTGGATTCTTCTTTGTTGAGGGACTCGCAGACTCAGGCGTCTAGAAGGAGGGGAGATGGAAGAAGGGGTAGCACTCGGTCGTCTTCACTTTTGCACATGTGGCGAGAGATTGAGGATGAACATGCGGTGAGTCAAGTTCAAGGTAGCAATGGGTTGATTGCGGATCTTTCATTAGAAGATACACCTGATAGCCCAGAGATAGGACAAAGGCATGGTTTGGACGATGCTGTTTTTGGTGAGAATGAGTCGGAAACATGGTCACAGTCACAAAGTCAGAATGAGTCACATGATGATCATGAGGATTTAAATAATTCTAGCTGTGAAAATTCTTCTGTTTTTGGAGAAGTTGAAAGGGAAAGAGTGAGACGAATTTTCAGGGAATGGATGAATAGCGGATCTAGGGATTGTGGATCAACCATTTCCCGAAGAAGTAGTAGTCCAAGGAGAGAATGGCTTGGAGAAACTGAACAGGAAAGGGTGAGAGTTATAAGGGAGTGGGTACAAATGAGCAGCCAGCAGAGAAATGTTTCTTCTGGGGAGAACAGGGAACAACCGTGTGCTGAAATTGGTACACAAATTGAACGCGTGCGTGATAGATTTGTGGTTAACAGTGGTGGCGGCCAAAGTGAACATATACTGAGGGGTATGCGTAAAATACGTGGCAGGCAGGTTATGCTCGATATGCTTAAGAAGGCTGACAGGGAAAGGCAGAGAGAAATTCAGGAGTTGCTGGACCATCAGGCTGTATCTCGTTTTCCCCATCGCAACCGCATTCAGGTTTGTCCTATAAATGATTATATTCTACTTTGTTATGTTTCTTCATTTTCCTATACCATCTATTTATTAACTTACACTCAGAGATGGAGGTTTTGTTCATCTGAACTGGGTAAAAGATACACTTATTGTGTAGACAGTACTTGAAAGCACACACTTTGTTTTTGTACTGAATTTCAAGGTGAAGTTGAAGATATCTTTATTCTAGGCATAGTACACGTGTTTACAGTCCAAACTCAAAGTAGTGTAGGTTGGTTGCGGCCTAGATTGAAACACTAATCATGTAGATGTAATCTCACTTACAATATTTTGGAAAACCTAGGTAATGTAAATAGATATTCTGTAAATTTTTCTCCAGTAAAACATAATTTAAAATTAGAACTTGATCTATACCCCGTGCTTTGGACTCAATTTGATGAACACTGGTCAAATGTTTTCCAGGCATTGCTTAGAGGCAGGTTCTTGAGAAATGATAGATCCACTGATCATAACAGGTCCACATCTGTAGCAGAAAGTGAATTAGGTCTATTGAGGCGAAAGCAAACAGTATCAGGTCTGAGGTATGTGTATTGACAATCTTTTTTTAAATTATTTATTTTAATTTGTGAACTCTTTTTGCACACTCTTCTTGTCTTTTTGATACATTGTGTGTGCACGATTTTTCTTTAATTCACCTCTAACTTAAATGAACGGTGGCGACAGATCTTCTTGTGGACTGGAAGTTGCCATGACTTCCCCAAAATTTCTTTTTTCTTTAAAGATATATAAACACATTTTAAATTTTATACATGTGTACATACATGTATGCGTATTATCTTTCTCTGTTATTTTGAAGTATGAAGTGGCTTAGTGGCTAGGATAGGTCTTGCAGCGTTGAGGTCATGAGCTCGATTCCTGCACACCTTGTTTTGTATTTTTGTTTTTATGGTATTTTCTTTCTCCAAAATGTTTTAGCCAAGATTTATACACGCGCACGATCACAGAGGGTAACACCTAAGCCAAAATAACTATTAGATCAACAAATAGTTTTTAAGTGTTATCTAAAATAGATATACTCCGTCCCGTTAAGCCAGCTCAGTTGGTAGCTGTGCAGGGACATCAATTGTAGTGACACGAGTTCGAACGTGCGACATCCCACCTGTTTATCTTTAAAAAGGTGAACTACTCGACAAAAAAAAAAGATATATTCCATTTCTAATGCCCCTGAATTAAATTGACCAAGCTCTGCCACTAACGAACTGATTCTTTTGTTCGGTGCACTGTAGTTCAATTTTTTAACCTACTATGGCATATGCATAATAAACTGTTCCTATCTCCTGATAAAAAAAGAGACTGTTCCTATAGTAGAAGAAAAACAAAAAAGTGTTCTATGAAATAAAATATTATTCAGCCAAATAAAACAATTGAAACCAAAAAAGGAAATAAAATAAAACAATCAAAATTGAATTAATGTCTTAAAATCACTAAGATGCCATTTTATATATCACGGATCTTTTTGCTTGTGATCTTGAAATGGAGAAGGATTGTACTAGAGAAAGAAGGTTGCATGTGAGGAGAACCATGTTAGAAAGTACCAAGATCATGAAAGTAAAGGAGTTGCTGCAATTGGAATCGGGGGATCTGCGATGCTGGGCTTGTAGGAGAAGTGTGAAATTCAGGAAACTAAGAGAGATGAGTGAGCATTCAAATAATGTTGGTTCAGTTTAGTATAGGCCACCAAAGCTATCTTCCAAAAGATCAGTTAATGAACTGTGCTTTAAAAATGCACGTTCAGTCCTGGAACTTATATCAATAGTTCAGTTATTTAAAAATGAGTGCAGTTCAATTCATGGTTCAGTATGACTCTCTTCAGTTTTTTGAACAACCCTATTTTTCTTTGTCAATTTTTAATTTTGTGTAGCTGAAAGACTAAAGTGAGTGAATTCCGTCAAGTTTATTTTATCCTGTTTGACATCGGCTCACAGCTGTGCCTTTCAACATTGGCCATTTTGTTAAGAAATGATGTATTGGCAGTGGAATGTACGAAAAATTCCCACTGCATTCAGATGGATGAAAATAATTTTAACATATTGAGAAATTGTTTGTATGCTGCTATTGCACTTAAAGCTACTAATCATTGTTCTGATTTGAGGTTGTGTTGTATGTATAATTTTGTCCACTTCATTTTATATATTTGTTTTGTGCCATATGCCAATGACATTAGCTTGTTTTTTGAACAGGGAAGGGTTCTTCTCTAGAAAGGACAGTACCGGTTCCAGTCAAGCAACCAGCAACCTATCTGACACCTCATCAAACATTGATGTTGATTTTAATACAAATGAACAAGCCGGAGAAAGTAGTTCATGTATTGTTGTTGGAGATAATAGTGCTGGGATATCTGGTGGCCACTGGCTAGAAGGAACTACATGTGAGAGTTTTGATTTGCAAGAATCTATTACTGCCGATGCAGAAGGAAAGCAGTTGCAGTGTTTGCAAATTGAATCAGTAGATGGGCAGTCATCAGTCAGTGTTGTGTGTGAAAGAAGAAATGACACTGGGCAAAATGTTGATATGGTGGAAATCAGAGATACAGCTAATGAACTTATCCAACAAAGCTTACAAATTGTTGATTCAGAGCATAACAATATTCAGGAATTCAGCGAGGTGCACATTGAGCAATCTGAGCTGGGTGATATAAGTATTGATGAAATTTATTCATCGAATCAGATTGGTTATCCAGAGGGCAATGGTGTCGATAATGTTAATTATGGATCCAGTGCTCTAGAAGAACCACTGGAAGATATTGTTGAAACTGAAGGAAATGGCTGGCAACGGAGTAACACTGAATGGAGAAATAACACTAATGAAGGAGTGGATGATAATCAGCTCAGCAATACTGCAAATGAGTGGCCTGAAAACATTTGGGCAAATGAGGATGGAGAAAATCCTCGTCTGCCAGAAGCTTCTGAAGTGTGGCAAGAGGATGGTGGCTTCCAAGAAGCAGTGGAAAATTGGTTGGGAGGACCTTCTAACAATGAAACTGCTCCAGGTGGTAGAGTTAATAATTTTTATTTTCCTGATGATGACAATGTATACAGTGTTGAACTCAGGGAACTTCACAGTAGGTATGTAAATACGGGATGAGTTTCTGCACCTATCATTTTAAAGTGAAAGATGTATCCAGAATAAATGGCTCTGTTCATCTTGCAGGAGACGCGTCTCTAATCTTCTTGGAAGTAGTTTCCGTGAGAATCTTGACCAATTGATACAATCATATGTTGAAAGACAAGGTCATGCAAACATGGAGTGGGATATGGAAGAAGCAACCCCTTCGGCTGCTCTAGTAGAACAGAACCTCGAGCATCCGCGGAGAGATCAGATTGTTGATCAAGAGACTACTATTAATAGTTCACCTGACTTGCCCTCTTTGCATACACCTCCTACTCCGCCTCTTTGGGATCAGCATCGCCATGATGATAACTGGCCACACAATGATGTAAATAATCCATGTCTTGTAACTATGCATTTGTTTTCTTTGGTGATTTTTTTATAGTAACGTCTAATAAATGTAAAAATCGAGTCTTTATGTGGTATTGACATCAAATGATTTTTATTAGTTAATTAAAGTCATAAAATATATTTATATACCAGGATGGTTTTATTGTGCAACTATTTCTAGGTAACAAATAATTGGAAGATATGGGGTATAACTTATTTTCCATAGAAGATTTAGTATTGCTGTTTATAGTTTATGGCTATTGCTAGCTTTTTTTCTTCTCTGCATATACATTATTAATAATTTTTAATTTGTGTATTCTTCTGGCAGGATTTGGAGATTATTAATGACTTGAGACTTGACATGGCTAGATTACATCAAAGAATGAATAGTATGCAGAAGATGCTCGAGACATGTATGGATATGCAGCTTGAATTGCAGCGCTCAATAAGACAAGAAGTTTCTGCGGCCCTAAATCGCTCGGGTGATTCACCTGGTTTGTAATTTCTTAACAATCCATTAGGTCCTCATTTTATCTTTTTAAAAGATAAATTTCTGAGAAAACTAAGTTAAACTTATCCCAGGAATACATGACTGCAATTCACCAGATGACAGTTCTAAATGGGAATGTGTGAGAAAAGGACTTTGCTGTATTTGCGGCGAAGGCAATATTGATTCTTTGTTGTACAGGTATTATCCATTTTCAATTTGAAACGTCTGTAACTAGTTTGCACCTCTGATTATTATAATCACCAATACATACCTTTGTTGTAGATGTGGTCACTTGTGCACATGTTCAAAATGTGCCAATGAGTTGCTTCAAAGTAGAAGGAAATGCCCAATGTGTCAAGCCCCTGTTTTGGAGGTGATACGTACTTATTCTATACTATAATATTGACTTTACAATAAAGGTCATACTTAACAAATATACAGGACTCTAACAAGTTGTATCTCTGGACGTGTCTCCAGGTACTCTTTTTTAGTTTTTTATTTTGTTACTGTGATTACTGTATTCATGTCAAGTAAGTACACCAAAGGAACACATGATGCCATTTTTTTATGGGCCAATATAGTTCTGATATGAATAAAAAGTGTTATGTTGTTATAAAGTTTTGAGTTGCATCTTTTTTTTTTGAATGTCAAGGATAGCTAGAGAGATCATGTCATTTTTTCTTTTTAGGTGGCTGGATGGTGTTTTATACTTATAAATCAACCTGTCTCTGTACATTATGTAATTGTGATCTTGTTCTGAAGTGTTGAAACTCATGTTTGGGTTGCACACTGCATATATCAATATCAAATTGGCTTGGCCCTGAAGTGGATTGCATGCCTGACTGTTATGGTCGGTATCACAAGCTGATTTGTCATGTAATTTTGAATGATAATAGAGGTAACTTGGTATAATATCAAATCACAACTAGAAGCAACCAGATTCATGATGAAAGAGACTATTTTGAATTTATTTTAATTGCTTTCTTGTAAGCTTTGGTAGGCAACATTGACATCAGTTTCTACGCCAAGTTTTTCACTTTTATCAAGCCAAGTAACTACTATTTGCGGAAACTATATTTTATCTCTGTTGTTGGTTTAGGAATACGACCCCATAACATCCAATCAATTGCTTTGGGTAAGGGAAATATATCGAAAACGAAGGAACTACAAAGCTGCATTAAAATAAAGGCAATGAAAGGATTTGTTTAATTGCATTTTCCATTCTTTGCGTTGCACCGTAATTTTAATACGATAACTGGTTTTTAGAGTATGACCCTGTAACATCGATTCAGCGGTAAAGGGAAGATATAGAAAACGATGTTACTATCTATACACATGCATTAGAAAAATGAAAAAGGATAATGCGGGGTTATTGCTTTATGCAGCAAAGCGAAGGAAATATAGACTGCAAGTGAATCTCAGCCATTCTCTAAGTTATTGAGTTTTAATCAAATGGTTCACATTAAACTGATTGCTTGATTGCGGTATTTCCCGACTGTAGGGAATCCTGGTCTGCGGAACTTAATTTATATTTTTGTTTAAACTAACTCGATGAGTGGAATTTGGTTCATTTCTACTTAATAAAAATTGGATCAATTTGATTATCTTAGGTTTAATGAATAATTATGTTTGGCTCAATAATTCAAATAAAAAAAAATAAAAAGAATAGAAAAATAAAATAGAATAGAAGAATTTACATGTATTCCTTTAAAATTATTCACAATGAGTATAAAAATTCACAAAATAAGTATGAAATTGTATGGACATGACAATTATCTATTAAAATAAATAGATATGAAGGTGAATATAAGTATGTATTAACCGCGTTCCATACTCAAAGAATACATTTATTATTTTTATTTTTATCATTACCTATATATGTTAATTTATCAATTATACATCATTATTGTGATAATTAAAGAGACAATATATATAATAAGAAAAGGTCTCGAATTGTTTTTTCTTAATTTTAAAATTTTGAAAATTAAAATTAATTTAGTTTTAGATATTTACAAAATTAGTTTTAGTTTTGGATTTTAAAATTTTTAAAAGTTAAAATAAGTTTAAAATTTAAACATAAAATAAATATTGTAAATATGTATATTAGGTTATGGGTTGGATCCATTTGTTATGAGAATTGGGCTTGTTCTCTCCCCTTCCATATTAAGTAGGAATTCTATAAAAATTCAGTTATGTTTGTAACTTTTATAGTGTGTAATAGAAAATTGAAATGAGAATGAGAATACAATTTAGTTTCTAGCAAACTTTCTCTCTCATTTCAACTCTCTTTTTTATCTTCATGATTATTATATTCTAACATGGTATTATAAGTGTTTTCTGAATCCATGTCCTTGAATTCAATGAACCTTTTTTGGCTTCGTCTTCTTCACAAACCATCAGCAATGAAAATTCAGTCAATACCGCTGTTAACACTACATTTAAACATAACATTTATGTTAAGTTTGATTACTACAGTCAATGGAAACAACTGTTTGAGGAAGTTCTTCGAGGAAAAAAATGATGAAGTTTGTAGTTACACCTCTGATTTATCCTATCCGTTGTTGATTGTAATTCACAAAACGAAAATCTTGCGTTTGTAGCTTGGGAAGAACATGACTCCTTGTTATGCTCATGGTTGCTATCCGTTATCTCTGATCCACTTCTCTCTCGCTTCGTTCTTCGTCACTCATGGCAGGTGTGGTAAGAAATTCACTCTTACTACAACTCTCAAATGACAACACGCTGATGACAACTTTGCTCTGAGTTGCTAACAATGTCGAAAGGTACGCGAACAATTGTTGAGTTCTTTGCTCGTGTTTGCACAATTATTGACATTCTTATGTCAATTGGAGATTGAGTTTTGCATAAAGATAAAATTAGGCTTGTTCTTAAAGCTCTTCTCACTATTACAAATTAAACATTTCATGACAAATTTTTTATTTCATTCAACAAAAAATTGAAGTAAAATGGCAAGACGCGTCATGTTTTATTTTAAAAAATAAATAATTATTATATATTTTTCCGATTTTGGAGTAAAATCAAGAGAAAAATAATTTAGGACATGTTTCGAATCCTAACATATGTAATATATATTTATATTTTATTTCTTATTTGTAAATTAAATGATCTATTCATTCGATTTCTGCAATAACAGAAAGGTTAAATAATCAAATTTTACTATAAAAACACACGTTAGTTAAGTTTTAACCTAAAACTAACTTATATGTAGCTACTTCGAATTCGTACGCATCATTCTTTGGGATAAATTTTAAGATAAAAAAATCCTCAAGATTCTGTGTTGTATGTTGTTCTTTTAACACCAACTTGAAAATTTTTTTTTGCCCTTCTAATCTATCTCACATAATGGTGTTGATGTTGTTGTATTTTGAAATAACCTTCATATATGGTCAAATTCTAGATTTGTTGTTCTCCAACAATAAGAAACTTTGTATTCTAATAAAAAATTGATATTTATAAGCAATGTAATTTAATATTTTGGGCAAACAATGTAAGTTATATTTAAAAAAATCTTTCCCCTCAGTTTTTGACAGAAACCGAGAGGTATGTGGCATGGGGATGAAACCTATTTTATTTAAAAAGAAACACATTTTACCTTAGTTTTGAGTCAAAACCAAAGGAAAATATAAGCGTGTTTATTGAGTTTCTTCAATGTCCTTAAATAAATATTTTTTGTCTATTTGATGAGTATCAACACTTAAGACACTACCATTAGTGATCCGCGTGAAACTTGAAAGATATCTGATCGTACCTGACCAGAATGGATCGTCAAAGCCTACGAGTTGTGAGTTGAGCATCAACTGAAAATGAGTTGGGGGGGGGGGGTATCTGCAAGACACTTCGATGCCAAAATAAAGTTTAGAGCATAGCCAGCAAGTATGATAGTGAGTATGAAAGAATGAATATCTGAATCTCTCAAGTGAGAGGATATTTATAGCCCCAGCACTGGATCTGGTCTCCATCGTTGGGCTGGGCAAGCAGATCCAAAATAAAGACTGTCAGGTCCTATGTGCGTGGTGGGGTCAGCACGTAGTCCCCAACCTGGATGGACTCCCCGAATAGTCAGGAGGATATGGATGCGTTCTTTTGGGGACCAAGAGGACTCAATGATATTCGTGAGTGTTATGAGTCAACCCTACGGGGAGGATGTTCGCGATGTCCTTCTGTCCATCATGGGCCCTCTCCATCAGTTATGAGGTTGTCTGAGAGGGCTTGTCTTGGTCGACGAAGAGAGTGGAGGATGCTCGCGAGGTCCTCCTGACCGGCGACGAGCCTCCTCGTGATTCATGGATTTATCCCAGTATGGCGAAGCCGCGTTTTCCCGAAGGGTGAGGTTTGTAACACCCCTAACCCCACATAGCATAAATAGCATAATCAGAGTAAAATAACGTGCATCTCAAAGAGGGCGTCACATATTGAATTCACAAAATATCCAAGAAATTCAAACATGTATACTGGTCATGATCATAACACGTATTCAAACTTCATGTTTTCAAAATTATGCACATCACAGCGGAATAATTCTTTACTCAAATAATAATAATAATGATTATAACCCATACTATAATCATAAATCCTCATAACAAGTCATGGATCTCAAATCCTTAGGCATTGAGGCCAATCAACATAAACTCTCAACATACAATTCAAATAAGAGAAATAACATTATCTTTTCAATAAACATGAGTTCAAACTCCCCCGAGTTACATAGACCAGAGCAATGACTTAATACCTAGGGATAAAACAGATAAATAAGGATCTAGCTCTTCTGACTAATCTTGGCAAGTATCACCGCTATCCTCGATACCTGCGCGATGTCGCATAGAACATCATTACAACAGAATGGTGAGAATTCACATCATTATAGATATATATAATATAAACAATGTATATAACACGCATACATTCTAAGAATTCATCACACTTCATATAATTATCTATACAACATGGCTTCACCAATACAAGTATCAAGACAATTATATCCAAGTAGAATAATTCACACAATCATCACATACATTATAATCATCTTCAAAGTCACGGTTAAACCAAGTATCACACACATTACGCATTCAAAGAAAAACATCACATAATAACAAATGTGACTCCAATGCAACTCAATGCGACTCATGCATGTGGTACCATCGTGAACATTAAGTTCACCTCTCTCCCGATTCAATATTTAGAACCAGAGGCACGCTTCTGATTCGGACAAGACCAAATCCCACCAATATGAACATATAGTTCACCGCTTATATTTCCACACAAGGATCAAAGCAACCAATATGAACATATAATTCACCGCTTCTATTTCCACATAAGGATCAAAGCAACCAATCGGAGTTCAATCTCCCCATGCATGCATGTGCAAACATAACCAATTATATGAAAATTAAGATTATCACCAAACCTTAATCATACCGCATATCACAATAACCCATCGAAATGAATTATCCACCATTGCATAAAACATACATTTATCACCTTGTCATTACCAACAATGCAATTATTTAGCATTCATAAATCAAACATATCACGAATAGCAAACAATGCTAAAACATGTTATTCTCATTCAACATCAATTCACAACATACACATACACAAAGTCAAGTGTCATTTTTATAACATTCTCAATTCAGCACATCACAATAACATATAGCAAACAATGCCAAAACATGTTATTTCCATTCATCATCCATTCATGACACATAACAAATAATATCCCAACTATTATTCCAATTATTAAATACCAACAAACCTAGTTCTATCTTATAGTTTATTCCATTAGCTTTCTAACAATTTGAACGACGCCTAAAATGGAGTTACGGTTCAAAAGTTATGGCCGTTACAAAATCTGCTAGAAAACTTGATGTATGAGTTGACGCAAAACCCTGTATGTGTCAACGCAAAGAATGAGTCGACGCAAAAGAACTACGAGTCGACGGAAAACTGCATGACAACACTTCCTTTCCTGGCGGGTTGTGTCGCGCCGACCCCCCTTCAGTTTGAGTTGACTCAAACTTCTAAAACACAGTTTTTTCTGCATTTAAACTTAATTTCCACACGATTTTTCTTATCAAAACCACTACCTATCACTACAAAACATCATGTTTGCCAATTTTATCAATAATCCATCATCCTAACATGAAGATACTCATTCTATTCCATTCAACACATCAATTTCTATCAAATCC